TGGGAAGGAAACTTAACAAAAACTTAACCCCTGCTCACATGTAAGAAACGTACCCCTGTTCCCGTTAGTGTGTGTGTCCTAAGATTTAAAAGAACAGGATTGCTCTTCAGAGTCATCCAGGTGCTCTGCCGACCAGGGTATAAGCCCCATCCCATCCGAACCCAAGGCCGGGCCTGCCCTGTGCCTCTGGGAGGGAGCAGCAGCCCATCAGCCTGGTGTTCCCACACTCACCTGTGCCTTTGTTTCCCGCAGGACGTGAAGGGCGCCCTGAGCAGGTGAGTGCTGAAGGACGGGCGAGGGGAGTGGGGTGCGGACCCGCGGGGTGCCCCCTGAGCAGCTCTGGACTCTGCCCCCCCAGGAGCCAGGCTGTGCGGCTGGAGATGCCAGAGGCCCTGTCCTTGGAGGTTGAGACCGAGTGCGACGTCCCCGAGCTCTACTTTGACCTGAGGAAACGTTTGAGGAGCCATCAAGGTAGGTGAGGGCGTTGCTAAGCCCCCAGGGGACCAAGCTCAGTGCAGACTCCGCCCCCACAGGTCAGGGGGACAAATGGGAGGGTTTCTACTTTATGGTCACAACCCTGTGCTCCCCTCGCTGGTGCGAAACAACGCTCAGACTCCAGAGCACAGACTGGTTTTCTCTCAAAGAAACTGTGTTGGGAGTGGGGTTCGCCTCCAACCTCGACCCCGAAAGCCACCTGGGGCCCTCGGGTGCATGGTCATGGCCCTCAGGAGCCCTTTGTGTGTCCGCAAGTGAGGATCCTGGGAGGAAACTTGCAGCAGCCCCTTTCCCACCCTCTGAAGGGACATTCTTGGAACAAACGAGACCCCAGCAGAACTTTGAGTCCAAGTCTCGGGGTGGTCGTCGCTCCCCTGTGAATGCCCACGCTGACAGCCAGCGCCCTGAATTCTACCCTTGAGGTTCTTCTAATCACCAGGACCCTGGAGGATGGTCTCCCTCTGTCCGTATTCGTTTGGGATTTCTTGGACCATCTGTCAGAGCAGCCTGGCAGTTGTGAAAAGGACATGGAGCAGTTTGCAGAGACCCTGAGTGGCCGGGTCACCTTGGACGAGGCTTTGCAAGAACTTGTGGACATCATCTATCAACAGGCCACGTCCGAGCCCAAGCTCCGCTGCGGGGGAGCTCGCCTGTGTGGTTACCTGTCCCGTCACCTGACCATTCGCTCACAGAGGGACAGCTTCCGCCAAGTGCTCCTTCAAAGATGTCAGACTCAATATGACCTTAGAGATCAAGCTGCCAAGGGGGAGGAAGCAGCTGGGAAACGATTTGACGGGTTCGTGCTCTTGCAAGGAGATCTTTATCTTCCGCTGGAGATCGAAGGGGATTATGGACAGGCTCAAACAGCTGCTTTTCGGGGGTTGTTGGATGCCCTCCTTTCTCACCCTGTGGACGATAACCTAATTTGTGCAGTAAAATTCCTGGAGTTGACAGGGTCCGCCTTGGAACATGCCTGGAAGGGACAAGGAAGGACGGACATGGACAAAATTATGGGGACGATTGCATACATCATCCTGGAAGCGCCCTGCAGTGTAGGTGTGAGGCAGATGCTCTTGAAGCTTGTTGAGCTCCGGTCAAGTAACTGGGGGAGAGTCCCTGTCACCTCAGCATCAAGAGAAGCAGCACCTGAGAATGATCCCAACTGTTTTGTGACTGAACAGCCATTGGGTCCAGCGGATGGTGTTCCTCTCCCTGCAGCTGATCCCGATGACCAGGATTCAATCAGGAGTGACGAGAGGGCGGGAGGGGAGGGGTGGGGGAAGAACATATGTGATACTTTCAACAATCAAGATTTATTAAAAAGAAAAAAGAGTGAGTTGAAGAGAAGACTCTTTTTCCAGATTGTGAAGAAAATGGAGCAGGTGTGTCCGGGGTGGTGATGGTACTTGGATGATATTGACGATGAGGTGGACCCAGGAGCTTATGCAGAGTTTTGTTTGGAACCAGAGCGTCAGCAGAAGCCGTCGGGTTAAACGTCCCCGGGTCAGAGTGAGGAAGCCGTGCAGGTGATGGTGGGAACCGGACGCAGGAAACCTGCCACT